AAACTATTCGAGGTATATACTAACATTCAGTTACTTGTAACTCGTCGATTCTTAAAAATCTTACACAGCTGCAAAGATCAAAATGTCCTGAACGCATCTCTTGTTGTTTTCAAAAATGTCCGGATCTGTTTTACGCAATTTCCGAAGAAGTGCGAAGTGTTCAGAATATCCGATGTTCGGCAAACTTCGACGGTGTCTATGTCAGTACAACTGAGCGAGGCACACATATCATATAGAATTAAGCCGATTAACACCTTAAACAATAGGCGTTGCCAGTCTGTTTATAAGTTGTCTGAGCTTGAACAAAATGTCAATAAGTCCTTTCAAAATAGATAATAATATCGCGTAATACGTTAGCATAAGGAATTAACGCCTGGTAACCAAGGTATCTCGTATCATCTTCTGATATGAATATCGCCGTGATAATAAACAGGACGATGACCTCCGCAACGTACCTCAGTATTCTGACAGTGTGTTTGCCTATTGCAATGATAGATTGATATGACGACAGTTTACAAGCCTACTTTGCGAAATTCCTAGGGAGAGTTCAAGGACCCGCAACCCAAATACCGTATTTTGGCGGGGATTTATTTTATTTTTTTTAGTATTTGGGCACTAATTGACCCTTTCTCACACATTTGTGATGCAGATTTTGCTCAGGTGAAGAATGTGCCCTGCTTGTGTGCAGTTCAACAACAGATGATAGGATGAAGGTGGGTATATCCCTATTACAACCCACTTAGATCAAGGAAATGTAAACATGTATTTAACGTTCATTGTGAAGATTTATTTGTATATTAATCTCTATTCATTTCGGCATGTCTTTTCTGGCATCGCGAGCACGTTCATGGATTTTGCGCTCGCGGAAAAATTAGCACTTTCTGAATTTGCTTTGGTATTGTTTTATAACTATAGAACTAACCTAGTACATTCATGCTTACTGTACTAATTGTACGATTGTTTTCCATTACTCCTTCACCATATCCAGCACAATTAAACCATTTAATTTGGCATTAGGTCCCTGCCAGTGATTCACAATTAATGGATTAACTTTTCACGAGGAAGTTTTCACACACAATCATGATGTCAGTTCAAATTGAAAACAAAAACAACGACAGTACCATCGTTATGACAAGACTGCCCTTCGGAGCGTCGTTTTGGGTTGTTTTTCGCTTTCTATTGTCTTCCTTGAACGCGTATGGTTGAATATTATACATGTATATGCTAATCCGATAATGTAACGAAGAGCTCGTACGCAGTCCCGATGCAGTTCGTTCATCATCGGTTTAAAGGGCAGTGGTCGTCGCGCAGCTCATGGTTGTGTTAATAATTATGTTTCTTACACGCATTGTATACGTCAGCATATCTCTTATCGAACACCTTGCGGCGCGGCGACCACCACCCGGCCTTACAAGATGTCAACAATAAAAAATATTATTGATTTTGTCGTTTCAAACAAAGCTGTTCTATATCATGACATATTGATTGCAGGAAACTAAAATAACAATTGCGATGCTTGGTATTTTCATTCATTGCTAGCAGCGACTCGTGACAGTATCGAACTTCAGTTACAGCGAGTAACAGTACATACTTTTTGATAAAATGAGAAAAAACAATGTACCGACGAATAAACGACAAATAGAAGAGGAATCAAATTAGACGTGTAAACATATATGATATGTATTCAGTGTTACTTAATTAACATCACTTCCAATCAATAGGTCCAATCACAATTGTAAATTTACGAAAAAAGAAAATGACTGACAAAAAGTTTACAATCAAATGAAAAACTGAAGAATATTTGCTTGTAATTCAGGAATTAATTTGAGTGCCAACAATGATCAGGTCGATCACTTCAAAATTACTTGTTATACTTCCCTCACTACGTAGATATTCGCATATATATATATATAAATCTGAAAGTGTTGGGTTAATCTTGCATGGTGATAATTCTAAGGCTTGTTTGCTTCTTCAGAGTATTTGGATTCTTCTTTGCTCTCACAAGTTTCACCTGTGTATGAAAAAACCCATAATGTCACTGGATACGACAGTAGACATGTATTCACAAGTCGAATCTTGAATATGTGCTCGGTTCTTAGACTTCAGAATCTGCGAAATGAGTATATCTGATGAAAAGGATTATTCACTCGTTTTATGAAGCTGATACTACACGGTTACACATGCGTTATGCGCTATATACTGTGGAATTAATTTTCGCTGAAAAGACATTTTGGGTGTTTTGTATGGAATTTATTTTCAATGATTTTTGACAAGTTGACTGTAAAATATAAGAAAAAAGGTCTATTCACTGGAATTAATTTTCACAGAATCATTCCTTCAGCGAAAATAGCGAAAATTAATTCCAAGCAAAAATAAAGTATTTTACAGTATAGCATTCAAGTTGTGCGCTACTGGACAATAGTTTTGGCACATTATTTTATTGCTAAAACTTTGGATATATACCACATAATTTACAAAATTTAAACTTTACCAGATTTCTGAAGCTTTGGTTCAAATTGATTCCAGAATGCACATTCTCTTGCTTTCAATGCGTTACTATTCTCCATTGATAATGAGAGTTGTTTATACGCTAAACCAGGCACTGTAAACAATGGCCAGTCATCGTTGTTATCTTCATCACTTGCAGAACTACGATTAGGATTACTGGGAAAAAACAAACAAATATATTCATATGTTGCTGTGGCACATTAAATTTCACGCGCAACAGTCGTCGTACTGCGTGCTACGCTGAATTGTTATGGTTTCGTAACAACACGAGCCAGTATTTTCCCACAATGCATTGAGCTAACGAAACTTCAAATTGCGACAAAGCCTGACTGAAGCGGAATTTTATCACAGCTCATCCCCTCCCGAACTGCAGCATCACGATTTCCCGTCACCATTTGAATTCAAATATTTTATATGAATGAGTGTTCTAATCTGAACTATTATACACGTGGTCAATCTGGATTCGGCTCATGTTTTTGGAGTTGGTATAACTCATGGAATGTCGCGTATAAACAACACTTTTACACGGGTTATATATGATGAGTGGTACCACGTCGACCAGGACCAACACCTTCAAAACAAATATTTTCAACAAACATGACTTTTCTGCAATGAGACACTCACCCAGTTTTGGCAAAATTGGTCCAGTACTTCATGATCTTTAAGGACACATTTATATCATCTTTTTTTGGCGTCTGCTTAAACAAAGTCTTCTCGTCACCACCAAGAGCTAGCTGCATCTCGGATAGCAGAGTGTAACCAAAGACAAACTGGATGTCATCTCCATGAAGTGCCATGCCAGTTTTGATAGGCCAGATTGACTTTGCCGGTGCGTGTGTCATCTGGTATAAATACGTATTGAGTCCGGCACGATAAAAAGCGCGTGCAGCTACGTCAGTGGGACAAACCATTATCATATCCCCTCCCATGTGATTCAACGCTGAGAGGTAGTTGGCATTCTCCTCATCAGCGTGGTCCCAGTCTATGTAAATTAGTTTGATTACGTCTAAAACAGCTTGGTTCTTATCTGGAATATACATGGCATACATTTCATCATACACAGTCTTGTTCACAGTTAACTCGCTGTCTTCATCCGGAAATAACATGTAGTACATCATGAATCCTTCGTCAGCCATAGTGCCAATTATCAATTCCTCGCCATTGAAAACATTTCCTCCATCTTTTGGGTCTTTCGTCAGAAATACACCATCCATAGTTGGTGGGAATGGTATAAATATATCTGCAAGCCCGGTAGCATTTGCAATGACTCCCTGGCAATAAAAAACGAGTAATTGTTAGCCACTCAGAATTGAAAAGCGTGAATAAGGTACTGCAAATTCGTACATTGTTTTCAATGATAAAGATTCGGTATTTTATAGTTCCATACTTCTATAAACACGATAAAGACTAAGTTTTTGACATTCTGAAATCCTTCCGTGAAATATGCATAACAAAATGTATTCCAAATGCACACCAAAAGTACTTTTAATAATTAATGAGTTCACTTTCGATGTTTTTGCATTACCTTTGTTTAGAATTACTGAAAATAGCAGAATGAAATTACAAAATATGCAGCGTGTTTTAACATCTCGCTATGAACAACATCTCGCATATGAGCAACAACATCTCGCGTATGAACAACAACATCTCGCGTATGAACAACATCTCGTGTGTGAACAACAACTCGCGTATGAACAACATCTCGCATATGAACAACAACATCTCGCGTATGAACAATGAGTTTAATAAATTATTTTACATTTTACATCCATAAAAACGCATGGATTGAACACGGAGAGTCTGTATCGTAGTATTATTTTTGAAATATCTGCGGAACTGTAAAAGGAAGGAAATCAAATCTACCATACGCACACAGTTTCTTGGCCAGATTAGTGTATGGATTTACCTACCGTTCCTGGATCCGATGAATTTATAAACCCTTCGGCTGGTGCAGTGCGAAGTCATTTAATAAGCTCTTTACTGTTCTCTTTCTCACATCCAACAAGTTTACCCTGACCATGTGCTATCTTGTTAGATCTCGATGCATCGGACTGGAAGTACCCAATCATGGTAGCAGTGCCACTCTGGATCAAGGACAGACATTACTATGTTAGGAGTGAAAATTTAAGAGGTTATATTTGTAACTTTCAACCGTTTTCACTCCAACGTTAGTTAACTTACTGTAAAGTACTCTATTTTAGCCGGAATTAATTTTCGCTAAAAAAAAAAACTTTTTGGGTGTTCTGTATGGAAATATATATAGGAAAAATAGCATATTCGCTAGATTTTATTTTCACTGAATCATTCCTTCAGTGAAAATAGCGAATATTAATTCCAAGCGCAAATAAAGTATTTTACAGTACACAACGTTCCTTCCTGGTTTTTATTGACCGATATTTTCTCATTTTTTAATAGACTATTTTCCGTTTACTGAGATATCCCGCGTTATCGTAAAACAAGACAAACAGATGACATAATGTATTGGTGACTTCAACATATCGAATGGCATTCACCAAACGTGATTAAGCAATTATCGATGAGATATGAATATCTCAACGCGATATTACCCTCGTCAAAGATCGGCATTTCGACACTGAACTTTAAAAAAGAAATTGTAATTCAAAATCAAATCGTTCGAGTGAATTTGACTCCCATGTCTACAGACCGGATTTCTAATTTCACACGGTAATGTTTCCGAATTAGGTAATTGTATTATTTCTGTGTAACTGTACAACATTCATGCTGTAGTCGATGATAATGACAGTTGTAGCAGGGAATGATAGCTACTGAGTACCGTTTGCAAAAAATGTTCTACTTGTGTAAAACTTGAATGAAAAGTCTATGTCATTTCCATTACCGGCATACCTGCAGAATAGATCTTTTAAATAATCCTTTACTCAATGGAGATAACACATGATAATGGGCACTTATGGAGCCTCCACTCTCGCCAAATATAGTAACTTCATTCGGATTTCCGCCGAAGGTTGTAAAGTGAAAAATATATACATAATTATGTATTCACATTGAACCCAGTAAAAGTTTTTTTTATACTGCAATGATCATCGCGCCACGCATGCGCGAGATATGAGTAACATATAAACATAGAAAGATCATGGCGACGAGTGAAAGATCAGACGTTACCAAGCTTTAACTAGGTATTTTGGAATGTGTGTCAAAGGAGTCACCAGCGGTATTTAGTATAAAGTTAGATAGCCTTTTAATCAAATGGCGATTTATTCATGCATAATAAAAACAAATAAATTGTTTCTACATTTGAACAGTATAAATATGAATAAACGATTTTTTTTAAATGGTCAACATGAAAGTAATATCTAGTACCTGCTATATTCTGTTGCACCCAACGAAGTGCTTCTACTTGATCCAGGAAGCCATAGTTACCGGGTGCTACGTCATCACCTGTCAACATATGAGAAGAAAAATAATAAAATAGTGTTATAAATACTGTTATATACGGCCGCAGAATACCGCGCTTGTTGCTTACTACGCTTTGCTACATGATGATGCGTTGCAGCAGAGACAGATAGAGACATATAGAGCGTGAGTTTTCATCAATTACAATATATGGTAATAAGTAATAGGCTAACTATTTCCTAAGTGAGTACTACTTAAAAATGTTATCGTGCATGGTTGGGGCAGGACGGTGACATGTTCTACTCATTATTTAAAGCGAGAGGGTCGTCACCTGCGCACGCGTGGGAATTGAGTGCCAAGCGACGATAACAACGCACGTTAAAAACGCAAAGGCTCTTGAGTAGACGCTTGTTTGTAAACATTGACACGCTATGGCCATCTGACGCATGCGCAGGTGACGACTCCCCCGCTTTAATATGCTATACTTTTAATTATTGGCGACCAGACAATTGCTTAGTCTATGGTGCGAATGTGAAGAGGAATTCCAAAGAGAATTATCTACACGGAGAGCGGGTAGGATGATTAACTTATTCTTGTCGGAAGGACCGGGATTTTATAATACAGCGTAATGGTAACAAATTATTAAACATATAGCGCTGATACTTGGGGCATTTGGCTGGTGAAGGTAGAACATGAGTGTTCGTCAGAATAAAATTCAGGCGGAACTCACAAAACAACAAAGCTTTCCACTGTTGTTTCATGCCATGCCGTTCTTCACTTTTCTTCAACGTCATATTTTTGTTACCATAGAGTCAATGATATACTGCCGTCAATGAGTCAAATCACCGCCTTTCCTCTCTGAGCTAGCATTACGGGAATGTATTGGTCACATGATATGAGGACGCAAACAGAATTTAGAAACTTTCCGACGACGACACCATCCAGTGAACTAGCTACCAGACTACGCAACAACGAAATCATTAGGTTAGATTTTGGAGAAGGGAAATAGAGAAACAGTTTTTAGTGTTCTGGGACTGATACCAAGAAAAAACCGAACATTGTACTCGAGAAGTTTAATGATTACACGAAATATTAGTTAAGACATTTTCGCGGCAATATACACGGATGATGCTAACCACCAGATTTCCCGCCGGTTCAGGAAAAGTGAAGTGTACAACAAACAAGCAGCCTCTCGGCTGAGATAGCTCCGCTGTTAGCAATGCACATGGCAATTAAAGAACAGAAGATACCATTAGAAAATGAACAATATGTATAGTATCAAAACAATCAGACAAGAAGTGGAAAATATCACTTTTTACCAAAAATTACAAAAATATTCATCAAAATTAGAGAATTGAAGATATCATCATGAAATGAGCAAATCTGAGTTAGAACCGCACGTAGTACCTATATATGTAATATCAAAGCAATTGGACTTGCGGTTTTCAACAAGAAGTTGAAAATATCACTTTTTACCAAAAATGACAAAACTATTCACCAAAACTAGAGAATTATAGATATCATTACAAAATGAACAAATTTGAGAGAGGTCCACATGTAGTACCTATATATGTAATATCAAAGCAATTGGACTTGCGGTTTTCAACAAGAAGTCGTAAATATCACTTTTTACCAAAAATGACAAAAATATTCACCAAAATTAGAGAATTAAAGATATCATTACAAAATGAACAAATCTGAGAAAGATCCACACGTAGTACCTATATATGTAATATCAAAGCAATTGGACTTGCGGTTTTCAACAAGAAGTCGTAAATATCACTTTTTACCAAAAATGACAAAAATATTCACCAAAATTAGAGAATTAAAGATATCATTACAAAATGAACAAATCTGAGAAAGATCCACACGTAGTACCTATATATGTAATATCAAAGCAATTGGACTTGGGGTTTTCAACAAGAAGTTGAAAATATTACCTTTTACCAAAAATGACAAAAATATTCACCAAAATTAGAGAATTGAAGATATCTACACCAAGTATCAAAGCATTCAGGCTTGTAGTTTTCAAGAAGAAGTCGAAAAAGTAAAACATTGACACGGACGACGACGGACGACGGACGCCGGACGACGACGGACAATCACTCATATGATAAGCTCCGCTCGGCAAAGTCGACAGCGGAGCTAAAAATTCAATCAATCGATCGATCGATAATGTAAAACAAGGAAAAATATTTACCTGTACTAAGAAATCCAAGCGCCCCCATTCGATAATTAATGTAACTACAATGACGCCATTCAATGAAGACAGTATGGTTGCATCGTACATCTTCGTTCCGGATCCCATAATTAATCCACCACCATGAATCCAGACCATTACTGCTGTGTTTACGTCCTGAAAATAAAAAAAACACTTCACTGACAAATTGGTTTTATTATTACGTCTTTGTTCCGAATGCACAAACATAAGTTACGGTAAACAACACAACAAAAACATTTGATTTCTTGTTTTTTATACCCAAATTATATCAGTTTTCTACACGTCGCCCATCCCTGCATGGGGACGAGATATGCACAAACTTGCGCCGAATTACGAAGGCGCGATCTTACTAGGGGGTCCGGAGGCATGCCCCCTTAAAAAAACTATTTCCTGCATTTTGAGGGTCAAATTTTGCTGACAAAAAGGTCTTAGCTTGATTTTAGAGAGGCGACGTCCCCAACATTATTTTCGAGGGGGCGATTGTTTCTTCCCCCCTTACCGCTTATGTAAATCTACAAAAAGTGTTCGCGTATTACGTGAATAACCCGGACCGAACGCCAGAAGCAGAAAATTATTTGGTTTTGAATTTGAATTTCTTTCTTTTTTATCGTTTGATTCCAAATTGCCGATTTTCTTGGATGGGAATATGACATTCAGATACCCTAACTTCACCAGAATTATCATTATCAGACGTGTCTAGTACATACTAGTAATTAAGCGTGGGAATATTAAATAATGCTTTCCCGTTGTCGAAGACCACACGATATTTTGACGCCACTATGACGCCGAGACCTATATTTGTCCGGTTTTTACGTTAATTCCACGCGTTAGGTGGGATTTCGCAGCGAACGGAAAATGAGTGTATTGTACCCCATGGCTATACATTCTATGACGCCGGTAGTGCTAGCCTTAATTTGACATCGATAGCGTGTACCTCTAACGAGTATCAAGGTGAGTGAACTCTAGGAGTCATACACACTTGTTTGTACAGACGTATCGCCAACACTGGTAATATGTGGGTCGTGTGATCTACCATGTTTATCATTATCTGTATTTTCGACACACTGGGGGTTATTCTCCAGAATACAAACGCCAGGCTAGGGGGGTCATTTGCCCAATAAATGACCTTGCTCGCCAACTCAGCTTACCTGTGGTGCGTACATACTCAAAATTGTTACTAGTATTTGCTACGTCCTTGCAGCAAAAGACTCTACCGCGGAAGCACAATACAAGTGACCTTGATCTGATCTCGCGTTAACTTACCCGCGGCTGTGGGACGTAAACATTCAAGTGCAGACAATCTTCGTCTTGAATTTTGTCGACAGGTACCAGTGGAGAGTCTGGTTGTATGCACGCAGTACGGAAGTCGGTAGCATCGTACTCCCCTTGCCACGGTGTCTTGGGTTTAGGCGGTGCAAACCTCAGGTCACCGACCGGTGGTTCAGCGTACGGTATACCCCTGTAAGCATGTACAGGCCGTGTACCGTCCACAAATTCACTGCTGAATTCTTCCACGGTACCGATTAGTGTACCGGTAGAAATCTTAATAGTTGGTCTGTCTGCATTACATGCGCTGACTAGCAATATTACAAGGAGTGCAGAGATGTTCACCGTTACCATTTTAGCTATCGAGCCGCCAACATGGACTAAATAGTACCCGGTCTGAATACGCATGCGTATAAGTACCCATTGGATTTACGATGACTCAGCGATTAGCAGTTACATAGCCATATTTGGGTGTACTCAGAATGACTAGATTCGCAGTTACGAAGCCATTCATCTGGCCATATTTAGGTGTAATCCTAACGACTAAACTCGCAGATACATAGCCATTCACCTGGCCATATTTGGGCGTACTCATAAAGAATACACTCGAGTTTCCATAGCCATATTTGGGTGTTTTCAGAGTGACTAGGTTCCAGGCTACCGCAATCCGTCTGACTTGTCCAATTTCGACTTGGACTCGGCCTGCCCTGCCTTGGTCCAAGCTTTTAGAATAGAGAGAAACGAACGACCCAGCATACCCGAGAATACGACAAATCTGGTAACTCGATTATAATGGTCGTGAGTACTTGTATTTTTCCGGTATTACAACGAGAGCAAAAGAATTCGTACATTGACGACGTACACATATAATATACATACATACATTCAATGTTAGTCGAAGTCCCCGGAATACTTTATATTTGACGACGCCAACCGTGATTTTGTAAACACTCAATCTTATAACTCGAAACCATTAATATAATTACGAACGACTTTTATTTACAAAAATACACCAATAATCCGCACAATTTCCAACCACACTCCATTCTGGAACGTATAAATGGTCATAAATTAAATGCTAAGTATTTCAACTGCAGTGAAACCCACATATTCTTCATCATTCAGCCTATCTGCCTATCCTCAACTTACTCGTCGCTGTGGTACGTACACACCTACACAGAAAGTCTGTATCTCTGTTGCGTTCCACCAGCCATTAGTCGTTTAAGTTACCACTCGTCAATCACTTGATGTGTATTTCTGCGTGTCAATTACGGAGTGTCGTGATAATGATCGCCGAGTCATATGATCGTGTTGACAGACGCTATTGCCCAATTACATCCCCTCCCCTCTAAGTGTGTACTTTTTAGTGTCGTCAAACATCACGATTCGAGTTGCCCAAACACAAATAATTCAAAACAACGCAAGCACGCACACGCGTCCTTGCATGTAGATCAAAACACATTTAAATATATTAGTTCAGAATTATTTGTTTAGTTCGGAATCAAATACATTCTACTGCATTTGTGTACAAGCACAACCTTTGACTTATATCGTTTGTTTCAATACTCCCCTGGACTGAATCAGTTCAGTGAGCTTCCAATATACGTTCGTATTATTAGAGGGGGGTAGTGTATCGATTGATTGTGGATGCGTCTTGAATTCAGACTGGTTGCATGTACTAATACTTTCTCAAAATATCAACGACAGTTGACAGGATTTTCGCCTAACCCCCACAGCAAACAGGGAAGAAAAATTAGCAAAAATCGACTATACTTGTAATGAGTTGAACAGTATGGTCAAAGACCACGGCACTACTAGTATTTGAAGCGGTAAGATCGACACCTGCGCGCACGCGGGAATTGAGTCCCAAGCGACGATAACAACACAGAGACACGATATGACCATCTAACGCAGGCGCAGATAACGAATCCTGCTTTAAACAAAACACTTCTAAGTTATTACAAATACTAGTACACGTAAATTATAATATAGCGAAGTCAATAGCACCATATATTCGCACACACACACACTGAACGCACACACAAAATACTAATGTGTCCGCATTGAGCAGCGTAAACACAAAAAAAAACATAACAAAAGATGACCTTCCTGACCTTTTGCTGACTATGTCAACGCCGTTTGGAATACGGGGTCATGTACACTATGGGTCAACAAAACAACGAATTTTCCACGTTTTCATTTTGGTTTTGTATAATTTGGACTATAACTGGCCAATTGATAACAGCGGGACAAGGCGGGACGCAGTGGTGTATCATGTAGATCTGGCAACCTCTGGCCTGGATACATCCTTGGTATAACCAATGCTTTGTGACAGTATGCCTGGCAAGTTTTGTCGTTGTTATGAAGTAAGTTGGTTGGTGTAAGATCGGATACTCGTGTCTTTTATGTGACAGGACACGTACATGATATGCATTTTATCAACTACAGCCGAACCAAGGACTGTGCACGCCGTCGCTCTAATACCACTGGCGGATCCAGAAATTCGGTAGAGGGCGCTCCTATTGACCTCCGGTAGGCTGGGTTTGTCAATTGATTTGTTAATTTTTACTGCGCGCACCCCTGACGCAGTGGTTGGTGTACACTGGGGGAAAATCTGCAGCTTTCGAAAATACCTTCATCATTTTCCTTAATTTATTTACCCCCAGTGGAGAATTACACTGCTATATATTGTCGAATTACCCGGATGCAATTTTCTCAGGTAGAATTCGAACACCGCTACGGGCACCGATTGTTATTGGTGGCATACATTTTTGCCTGTTCCTCGTAGCCCTCGTCGGAATGATTTTTTCTCTCGGAAAGCATATTCAATGAATTTCCTTTCACCACATTGAAATTTGTTCTGAACGAATTCTTGGTCAGCATTCGCGTTCCTTCCCGGCCACGTCTCACAAGATGAGAACCAAACAGTTCTAATTGAACTAACGGGGTTACTCGTTGGTGCCGGCCAACTTCAAATCTTTCCTACAGATTGCTATTTTATGTTGAACTTTATCAAGTCGCTCGATTTTAAGATGTTTAAATAAGCATTTGAAGGTGTTGTTGGAAGTGTTGGACTCGCAGTCTTGCATAATATTCAGGTTGCGATTATACGGTGGTGAGTTGATGTGTCGGTGAATCGCCGCTCGTACTGCACTGAGACTCGATCTCCCGTAGTTCTCTCCTGCTTGACTGACGCATTTCAGCATAAAACTGGTTGTAAAACATTGTTGGGATCTTCAACACTCAGATACTCGAATTCAAGATTCTTCCCAGTTAATCTTAGCCAGTCTGTTTAGTAAAATTGAAAATCGTATTGTAACAGTATTGTTTTACCATGAAATGAAACAAAACAAGACACTCATCTTTCATAATTCATATTCCCCATCCTGTTTGTTTTTTGTAATTTGTTCGTCCCTCACTTCCTCAATCTCATCCGGTTGATCACCAGGTAAACTTACAAATTGTATTTTCTTTGTTGTAGGTTCGCAATTAATTTCAACACGAGACATGTTTAACAAGTAAACACAGCCTTCTGGTGTTCGTTTAGGTTAGTGTGGCGAACGACGGTCACCCAAAGACAACAAACAACATTAACAAAAAGCAACATTATGGTTATATAATTTTTCAAATGTTTTTAATTCGGTAATTTTTCCAAAATGCAACCACTATATTCTCCTTAACATCAAATACTACTGGGTTCATGTATTTTCGCTTTAAACCTGTAGTCAATTCATGTTCCAGGGCCAATCATGTTTATCATAAGTGTACATTATCAGCCAATATATCCTTAATTGAATATGCAAAGTTCGTGTTTGGATCAATAAATTCGATTGATTAACACCATCTTGTATAATATAATACATGGTAATCACATGGATGACGTTACTGAAACTCCTGAACAAGGATAATGCGCATAAGAAATTGTCGTTCACTAAACTGGTGCCTTCGGGTAGACTGGCAAAGGCGGGCTTCTTTATGTTTTCCCGAAAAAATAATTAATTGTCAATTTAGCCTTTTTAGCGTGATCGCGAAAACTAGGGTGACCACGAAAGAAACATAACAAATATAAATCATTCATTGATTCTTTTATGAATGAGGAGCGATGTTTCAGATTTGAGAAGACATAACCATGCTATTCTGGACAATTACACAAACACTATCGACAGTCCAAACCATAGTCCAGTCGGTGCAAATGACTATCCAAATAAAGTCACGGGAAGGATCACATACTGGCCATTGCAGACACCAATTGCACCTGTCATTGTCAGTGTATTGCAACCAGTGTTCTTCAAGCTCAAATATGTTGGAAGGTGTGAAGTATGGACTCCCTGAAAATCAAAATGGAAGCTTGCAACATATGATGTGGAACATCTTTTCAAAATACCCAAATCTTTATCATAAAGAAATTGGCCTTGGTATAAAAGTGACAGTGATGTTAATCATCAAGGTTATCACACCACTAATACATCACAAAACTAATCCTCAGCCAGACTAGCAATGCAATCAGAAGAAACCAGATATTTTTGGGAGTTAGATACAGCACACACCACCACTCGAAGAAATTAAAATGGCAGAGAGAAAAAAAGCTAGTGGAGAAGTTTATTTATACTGAAGAAATGACATAACAGTCTCGGATATTTGATAGCAGTGGTACAGGGCAAAAACAAAACACAACCAAAATGTACAGCATGTGGTAAGACTATGAAATGATACGAGAGTGGTGCCTGCTAATTGATTGATCGTTGGTTTCAGTGTCACATGATGAAAGATTATGACAACTGTGTTCAAGATAACCCTCCTCCCCTGGATGAAAATGAAACAAGTGCAATTACAGGTACATGTATGTAAATGTATATTTCGATGAGTTTACATACATGTGGTCTTCATCATAAATGTGCCGCATGTTACTCCGATTGTTGTGGCTTGTGTCGGGCGGTCTTGTATCAAATGTGGAGCTGCTGCGTCCTGTTGACCCCACTTTATATAAGTTATGACAGAGAATTTACTGTGTTTTAACACTGCAGGGCAAGTGACTGGTGGATTATTGTTGACAGAGCTCGGTTATCTTGCCCACACATAGCTATATGCGAGTGACGTAATTTAGAAAATAATTTATAAACTTGTTTTTGGTTTCTGTATTTGCCAGTCCTATCACAAGCATGGTGTGTTAAATTACTATATTTTAACTAGCAAATGCTGATTGGAAAATGTGTAACTCAGGATATCCATGATGTTCTGCTATGGTGTCAAGCACCACCTGTGTTGTGTATTACAAGAGATCCACTGACTATTAGTGACACTGGAGACGGTGAAATATTCATTGGATTTGATGTGGCGGGGATATTCACAAGGATTAAACTCTTCGACTGAGGAAGGAAACAATATATTA